TGATCTCATGTAGGTCTGACCCAGTTCCAACCGGCACCATGGAAATTCTCAAAATGTAATCTAGGGGAATTGTGTTAGATTTAGAAAAGACACTAGAAAAGATCATTTAAAAAAAGATATTAAACCTATTTTTTAGTCTTGGAATGCTGAATTAAGGAAGACGGGAAATAATTAAACCGTTTTGTCATCTGAATCTTTCATTTTATTAATAATATTAATACAGCCATGCTAATATTGGCTGACTTTCACCCAGGTGTTCAGCACTGGTTTTGGCATCCAGGTCACCCGGGCACATCCCATACAGGGTGCGTCAGGCACGGCCTGTCTCAGAAATATTGCTTATGCCATTTGGGCAAGTTCATTAGTCTTGATTTTATCTTGACACTGCAAATCCAGAACACCTTAAATGTGGTGTGAATCCTGTGTATGTCCATCCTTTGTTACATCCGTAATTAGCACGAGAAGCCTGTGCCATGGTGCCAGGCATGCCTCGTCGGTGGCGAGGTCCTGCATGGCATGGTGCGGAGCCGGCGGCAGCCCTGCGGCTGTGCTTGCTGCTGGGCAGGAGCGGTCAGGAGCAGAACTGGTCTTGTTTCCATGGAAGAACTGTAAAAATAACGCAAAGCTAACATTTAATGGAATTCAGAAACATATGGTACTTCATTTTTCAATAATGAAAATTAAAACATTAATGACTGGAGTTTTTTTCCAGTTTTGAAAACTAAGCAGACACGTCCACGTTTCGTCCTTACTTTTGGAACTTCAGACCTCACTATAGGTCTCCGCAGCCAATGGGGATTAACATTTCTACAGCTTTTGTAAAGGAGAATAATAATTTCACTTTTGATTTTACTGGATTTGTGTGTTCTGCATGGTAGCTTTTTTCCTTTCCAGAATCTGAAATTTGTATTAAAACCAGCTCTCGCTTTTCCACCAGAGCACATCTCAAGACCTGCCAGCAGTTACAGTCCTCATTTTATGAAAAGAGATTTTCATTTTGTCATGGGGAGATCTGTTAATGGCAGTGTCTACATGCATAATGGAAGGCTCTTTCCAGAATTAGCTTTTATTGACTTCCAGACTGGAGTCTACAGACAGAAATTTGCTCGCCGCCGCCTCGCAGGCAGCCACAGGCAATGCCTCTGACGCGCTGTCCCGTCCCGGGCTGGCTTGGGAGCCCCTCGCAGGCAGCGCTGGCCGCGGGGTCACCAGCGGAGGAGGCAGATGATGGCTTGCGAGGAGGTGCCGGCAGGCGTTTGGGAAACAGCAGTGCTGGCCTGGCAAGGAAAAATTATTACTTCAAGTAACAAATGAGCAGAAAAGCCTCCCCCAGGCAAAGGCGCTGTTCCCGTGCAATCAGCTTTGCACAACGTACAAAGAAAGGAATTCTGCTTCAGCTTTACATTTGCGTCTGGTACTCTGCTCTCCAGGGGAGAGCTGGATGGGGGTGGAGGATGGGCACTGTGGCGTTATTCCCGAGGGTTGTTCTCCTGCACAAAATGATCAGGTTCAAAAGAGCAATGAAAATGAGAAAGAAAGATTAGATTTCCCCAGAGGGAAGTCCTTTGGTAGTCTCGGGACTGTTTCTTAAGCTAATGCATATGAAGTACAGATAGTATAATGTGTCCCCAAGAAGGAGGTCCAGCTTTTCACGTTATTACAAACGTTCCCTGAGCCACCAGCTCTTTTCACATCCAAGAGAACTTCCCTGGAGACTCGGTGACTCAGAGACGACACCGAACCGTGAGTCCCTGCCGCAGTGCAAGCTGCCATCCGTCGCCCTGCCTGCCAGTTTGGGCTCGAAGCTGCCGCCAGGGAGTGCCAGGGCAGAGAAGCTGAGCGCCGGGCGCTGTCTGGCACCCGAAGCGCGCCAGCGCCGGCTTGGGGACGTCCCTCCAGGGCTGGCCCCTGGCTCGGAGAGCCTTGTCCGGGGCCCTGGGGTGGCAGTGAGAACTGCAAACAGCCCTAGCGCCGGTCTAAATTTCAGAGTTTCACTGACGGAAAATTCTTCTGTTTGCTATTAACAAAGTATGTTCTTATCTAGCTGTTGATGGAATCCTCATTCCACTTTTCCTCTGCGTGTTATCGGCTGCACCGAAACCGATCCCCATCTCGCTGATGGCACGGGCCGCTCCAGGGTTCCGATCCCTGAGTTTTCTGAGGTTCAGATTTCCGAGTCTCAATTTCATGCTTTGTAGGATGGAAACAATAGTAACAGTAATCCTCCTTCTTAAGGGCATCATAAAAACAACTGTCTGGTGTGAGCACAGAGCTTTAAAGACTGGAAACACGATGCTCATTTTCAGTATTATTCATTGTAAGTATTTTTGCTATTTGACACTGGCACATCCTCCATAGTTCTCTCTGTGTCTCAGCTGATGAAATACCTTTCAAGGATGTTTGTGGTTTTCCTTTTTTGTTTTGTTGTCCGTTGAAGTTTCTCCATTATTCACTGAGGACTTGCTTCTATAGCTCCTTCCTGAATCCTAACGAGGTTTCTCTTGTTGTGCTTGCATCTTGCAGAAAAATTGAAAAATGCTCTTCAAAACCAGTGTTTGACCATCTCTTGGATGTGATGATCTGTCCATGACAGATACAAACTGTGCGTAGCAAAGAGTAATAATAAAAAATAAATTGCCTGATAGTTATGTGGTATTTTCCTTCTTCAGAGCTCTGTGATGTAACACAGTGATGACTCGTTCTGTGCTTGGACTTCTCTCTCGTTTGTGATAACCGGGTTACGCGGAGCTGTATGCAGAATTTAAGCCTTTTTCACTGATGCAAATATATGCTGGTGAACAAGGAAAACTCCTGATAAGATCCTCCCAGTGGAACCGAAGAAACCGATTACAAACCTGGGCTTCCCATCAGCTCTCCCAGCAATTCCCCCTCCGGTCTTCATTTCAGCATGTTCCTGCTAACAGATGTAAATGGCTTTCTTAGCACTGGGTGACATACCAAAGAAATAAAATGTTCTGCTTGATCAATCTCTCCTTTTTGTCCTTTTGGCTGCAGAAGCGGCCATGCCTTACCGTGCTGCCAACTGAGCCAGATACTCTTGGACTGACATCTTCTTTTAGCCTCCTACTTATATTTAATCCGTAATGTTCGTAGTTTTCAGAAAGCCTTTTGGTATTCATATATTTGGGGCATTCTGCGGGTGGCTCAAGTGTTAAAAAGCTGCCATTTACAACTGAAATAAACCAAATCTCTTCTGATGGCAAAAAAATAGCACATTTGCAGTTTGTTCAGCATTTCCAGCCTTGCCCGTTGCCGTGAAGTCTAAGACAGCGCGATGCTAAAGGACATTATTGCATGATCTGGTTGTTATTTTTGAGAAGGCTGTAGCTCCCCTGAGTCAGAGGACGTCCTGTTTCTGCGAGGAAGGTCTGTCATTCCAGCAGAGAGGATAGCGCTGTGCAGTCAGTGAACTCTGCACTCTGGGGTGTTCCACTTCCTCCCTTTTCTGTAATTGCTGAGCGGTAGTACAGAGTGATAACATCTCTGCACACTCCCTTTTCTGGAAAGACCTGGCAGGTTCCCCACTTCTTCGATCACCTTCCGTCTCCATTGCTTGTCTCGTCATGCCCAGCGTGATAACATCAGCTCTTCTCAAGAGGCTGCTGGGGCCAGGGAGCACACCGCTGTCATCCTCCAACGGGGACCGCAATGCCTTTGGGGAGGCTGAAGGAGGGTGAATCACCAATAATAATCCGAGAGACAAACGTGCTTAACTGCAGCCGCAGAAACCCGTTGTACATCATTGTGGGCAAAGGGAAGATGATTTGCTGCAAACTATTACCTGTTCCTTTTGTCTATGGCCCAAATATGGATTCTTGAGGTGGGTGAAGAACACGAGGCCATGGTCTGAGACAGAGCTCCCAGGTACCGCTGGCTGGAGAGCATAAAGTTGGATCTAAGTGATTCCATCAGGCTTTTGGGTCTAAAACGATTTCCTCTCCTGTCTAGCCCACAAGACACGTCTGGGGGATGTGCGACCAGTGCAGCATCCTCTGGTTCCTGTGTCACGCTCCAGGAGGTGAGTGGCAAAGGCCAAGCTGGGACCTGGCTGCCCGTGCAGCGGTTGCGTCACCTAATCCTGAACGGCAGCGTGCCTGCAGACGTTGTTGACATACGATAACTAGCTCGTGTGTTTCAAGAAGGATTTCAGCAGTGATCTACAAGATGCCACAGTGATAAAAAGTTATTGCTACTCATCCCTCTGCGGATTAAGCAATGGTTACTTTGGAAGCTGTTAAGTGCAGCCCTGAGGCAGCATGAAAAGACCTGTATAAAGTTTTCGAACAATGTGCCTAATAGTGGGATTTAAAGACAGTCAAATGAGACAGGAGGCATGTATGTATGAGTTTTGCCAACCAGCCAGATGTTGTACTCATGTCTCGGAATGGTACACATGGCAGTAGTAGTCTTGCTGAAGTCGTTTAAGTTCAACTTACAGGAGGAAGTGAAAACCAAGAGGTAGAGAACCGAGCTTTATTTTCTTGGCTTTAATTATCAGTTGTGTGGCACACTGACCTCAAACACGATCCTTCTATCATTGCCTTCATTTCATATCAAATATCAAACTTATCTGGTTTATGTCTCAGCCAGTCCCATGTGTTTACAAGCAAGGAGTTCAGCAGAAAAAGCTGTCTCAAATTATTTTTGCTTCACGTGGAACCCATATCCCTCCGTTCCCCTCCTCTCACCAGCTGCTTCTGGTGGTTTCTTAGGACTTTCCCTGGCAGGAGCACACAACCCTGAGGCTTTGAGAGATCATGTATCAGTGACAGACAAGTCTGCAGTTGTGTGAACGAGGAAAAAAAGCTTTATTAAATGTGTACAGAGTGCACTATGGCACCCATGTGAAATTAGGGTAAAACAGGAAGGAGGAGCAGGTGAATGAAGGTGACAGCTTTCTGTGGCACAACCCCATCACATGCGGCCTCAGACAGGGCTTGCTTCAGCTCGCCGCTCTCTTGAGTCGGGGGTCCACGGAGCTGCCTGCCCTCCTAGCGAGTGGTGAGCGCTACCTGCTCCCGGGAGGAGACCACCTTCCCGTCCTGCACCTCCTCGACGATTGTGCGGACCTGACGGGAAGATGTCATGACTGCAGAAGGAAAGCAGAGGACAATTATTCAGGGGGCAGGAAGGAGGGGAATTTCTTAAGACATTTTCAGACATTGCACATTCTTAAGGAAGATGTGGGAAATTCCACAAGGTACTGGAAAATATCGTTTTAAACAACCCTACATTGGCTAGGAAGAGTATGGAGCCAGGCTGATGGGAAAGTTCCGGAAGGCAAAAGGCACAGTCCCTAATGCACAGCATCGCTTGATTGTTCAGGTCTGCGTAAAGCCAGAACGCTACTCAACCACAAGGCCCATTTAGGGCAAATCATTTCTGTGCTAAAGGAGTGCAAGGTATTCCCCTTCCTGCCAGCTTTTTCCTGTGGTTAGCAGTTGTAAGACGTGCTCGGGCTCTCCTGACTGCTGCCACTCTGCTGCAGCCAGCGGGGCGGCACAGCGTGCCCCGGGAGGGATTTTCACTCCGTCAGTTGGGCAGCTGCTCTAAAAGCAGCTCTCAAAGCTGTTTGTTGTAAGTGTACGTAGCAAGATAGGTTCTTACCATCCCTGCCCGAGTGTGAGGACATAGAGGAGGAGTACTGGGACGAGATGCTGCAAGAGGAGAAAAAAAAAGAGAAGTTAGGGACAAAATCCTTCTTTGTTGTTCCACGGGCTCTGTATCCAGGCAGGAAGAAAACAGAAGTGGCTCATAGCGGTTGCGAACACCACTGCTCCGCTGAGGGTCTGCTGGTGGGCAGAGGGACTGTGGCCCCTTCCAGCAGTGAAAGGAGCCCATTACAGCATCTCCCTGCAGAGGGGGACCAGGGACGGAGCCACTGAGCATCCGTGGTTGGTGTGAACGTAAAGATGAATCCCAAAAGCTGCATCGGGCTGAGTCCCCAGACAGCGTATCTTGTGCCTTTTACCCGTCTCCTCCCCACACACCCTCCTGGGCACAGCCCCTCTACGTACTGGGCATCCTCGCCCTCCAGGAGCCGGCGGTACGTGGCGATCTCCTGCTCCAGGCGGCACTTGACGTCCAGGAGGACCCTGTACTCGTGGTTCTGGCGCTCCATGTCACACCGCAGCTCGGCCAGCTGCTCCTCCACGCCGGTGATCAGCCCCTGCAGCTGGGCCAGCTGGGTGCCGTAGCGGGCTTCTGTGTCGGCCAAGGTGCCCTCCAGCGCCGCTTTCTGCGTGCAGAGGAGAGGGACGGGTTCAGGGGGCACGGAGGGTGGGAGGGCCGGCAGCAGCCATGCGTCCCCTGCCCCGCGCTCCTGCGTGCCCCCCACCCCGCAGGGAGCCGGCCCCTCGTACCGTGCTGAGCTGGGACTGCAGGTCGATCTCCAGGCTCTGGATGGTGCGTCGTAGCTCGGTGATCTCCGACTTGCCGCTCTGAAGCTGCTCCGTGTTGATGGCCACCTCCCGGTTCAGCTCTTCCGTCTGCAACGAGGCAAAACCCTCATAAGGTGCCGTTCCGGCACTGGCGAGCGGGCACAGCCTCGGCTCCTGTGCACCCGCGGCGCCGCCGCTGCCGCCTCACCTTGCTGAAGAACCACTGCTCGGCGTCCCTGCGGTTCTTGTCCGCCAGGCTCTCGTACTGCTCCCGCATCTCCGCCAGGATCTTGGTGAGGTCGATTCCAGGAGCAGCATCCATCTCCACGCTGATCTCTCCCCCCACCTGCCCACGCAGGGCGTTCATCTCCTGGCACAAGAGAGACACGTGATGCATGTCAGAGTGAAATCAGTGTATTCCCATCATGACAAATTTCTTATTTGCGCCAGCACACGAACCCCGCAGACCTTCTCCTGGAGGTTCTGCCTGAAGGGGTCGTTTCCTTCTCCGTTACCCACTCAAGCGTCTCCTGACACCCTAATGGCAGAGACACTCCGGCGCGTTTGACCTGACCCCTTTCCGTTGGGCCCAATGTACCTTTTGCAGGTCCCAGTTTGAGCCTGGCTCTGTGCTCACCTCCTCGTGGTTCTTCTTGAGGTAGGCCAGCTCCTCCTTCAGGTTCTCGATCTGCATCTCCAGGTCAGCTCTGGCCAGGGTCAGCTCATCCAGGACTCTGCGCAGGCCGTTGATGTCGGCCTCCACGCTCAGGCGCAGAGCCTGCTCCGTCTCAAACCTGGGGACACACACACACACAGACTTGCACCGTGGAGCCCAGCTGAATCGGGGGGTTTTGTGTCTTTACTTCCCCACCTTGGCACATTTCTGCCAAGCATCTTTTATTAAATGTGCATGCACAGCTCCCCGCAGTGCGGGAACGTCCAGAGACAGAGATGTACATTCCCAAATGTCACACTGTTAGTGAGCAGTGACCTGTTGGAGCAACTTCAGTTGCAAAAAGCAAAGAAAAGCCTTAAACAGCCTGGTTTTCCCCTCCCTTCTCAGAATAACCCCTGAAGGCATTGGACTTACTTGGTTCTGAAGTCATCCGCTGCCAGCCGGGCATTGTCAATCTGCAAGACGATGTTGGCATTTTCAACAGTTGCAGAAAGAATCTGGGAGGGGATAAAAGAAAGCAAAAGGGTGAAGAAGTAGTTCCAAAAAATGGCATGCTGCTGCCTGAGTTCCCATTCGGAAGAAGGACTGGAGGAGCACTGACTCTCGGGCCCGCTGGGCTGGACCTCCATGGGGACTCTGCAAAGAGAGAGATGGGACACTCATGCTCAGCCCCCCACTGGCCCTGATTCGGTCTTGTGAAGACACCGGCATGTGCACGTGCCACAGCCTGTGTCCTCCGCCGGAGTGGCACCTCCAGGCGCTCCCACCCCGCTGAGTCCTGGCCGCACGCTGGGCTTTGTCTGCAATGCTGAGCCGCCCGGCGGGGCAGGGAAAAAGGGCTGAGGAAGGAGTGCCGTCTGCCTTAATCGTTCTGCTTTCGTAATTTCACCTGAGGTGCAAATATTTGTTCTGGGATTTTGAAAATGATTGGCCATTTAATGAGCAGTAATTTCTGTAGCCACAAGGTAATGAAAAGCTCTCACTGATGCTTCAGGGGATATCCAAGCAATAATCCCGGAATATTGATGTGGTAGTTTCCCAACTGCGGTGCGGGAGGGGAGGGAAGGGTCTGCCTCCTCCTGGACCCCGAGCAGAGGGTTTCTGTGAGACCCACCGCTTCACTGCCCAGATCTGGAGACACCTTCTGCCTCCACATGTTTCTGTGCTCCAGATCAGAGCTCACCTGCCAAGCTGGAATTGGAAGAGAAGCTGTGTGTATCAAGGCGAGAGCCCTTCACCCCAAGGAGAAGCCCAAGAGAAGGGTTAAAGAACTGAAGAATGCTCGGTATGTGATTTCCCCCAGGGGCTGACTCCTGAGCACGTCAGCAGCTGCCCCATTTCCCGGCATTTGCTCTCACAGACCAGGTATTGCCATTACCCCACCGCCCACACCTCCATCCCCTCCAGTGGAGTTGACGAAGGTTGCTGTCACCTCCCCTTGCGTAGGCAGTGCTGAGGACCGTGCAGTAAGCTCATGATGAGTAATGTGGGCAGAGGGAGGACCACGATGGCAGGGGAGGAGAGGAAGGACAGATTCTGGTGTTTCTGTTCAAGGACCTTTGCCTAAAATCAGCCAGGGAGCTGCTGAGAATAAAGAAACAGCTTGGCCGTGATTTCGTCTGCTGCATTTCAGAGTGTGGCACGCACCTGACTTCAGCACCTCTGAAGCCACCTACCACGACCCAGTATGTTCCAACCCCTGGATTTTCATCTGTGTCTGTGTTTGCACCTCCCAAAGAAGCAGCATCCCATAGGGCAGTTTCTCTCTTTTTAACCTCCACCTTGAGCCTCCTATGAGGCTAGAAAAGGTCTGGTTTGTAGGATATTTATCAGAGCGACTAAGCATCTCTATTTGCATATCATTAAGTAGTGAACAATGCCCAAGCGATACCGTGTCCCTGCCTGCAGAGTGCTTAATCAGGAGCCTGGCAGAGGGGGCACATACGGGGGTCACTAATAGCAGGGAGACCAGGCAGGCAATGCCCGGCGTGGCAGCACGCACCCGGTAGCGTCAGGTAACCTCAACCGGTGGCTGATAGCCCGACTCCTGCTTTCTGGCCCCATCTTTCTCCCTCCACTGGAACACTCAATAGAGCACCCATCTTGGTGCCTTGTGGAGGACAAGATCAAGAAACTGCTCTTCATAAATTATGAGCTCTATTTCCAAGCATGCTCCTTCTGTTTTCCCATCTCAGACCAATTACTGATCATCTGTTAATACTCTTCAGCTTTTAGGAGCAGGGTAATCTTTTTAAAAGTGACTTTAATGAAGGTACCTTGGTAATCACAGCATCCTACCTTGTTCCTGAGCTCCTCGATAGTCCTGTAGTAGGGGCTGTAGTCGCGGTCTGGACCAGGTCCCTGCTTCTTGTACCACTCCCTGATCTTGACCTCCAGGTCAGTGTTGGCCTCCTCCAGGGCACGCACTTTGTCCAGGTAGGCAGCCAGGCGGTCGTTGAGGTTCTGCATCGTCTCCTTTTCGCCAGCCGGCAGGATGCCATCGCCGCCTCCAAAGCAGGCACCAAAGTTACCCCCAAAGCCAGCGCCAACCGCGGCCTCCGTGGACGCTGGGGGCTCTGTACCCGCCGCCCCCGACACGCACGGAGGAGAGCCTGCTGGAGCCTCCACCCAGGCCACCGAGGCCCTTGAGGGAGGTGGAGGAGGAGTATTGCCTGCCAGTGATGCTCATGGTGAAGGCTGGTGGCGGCTGGAGGGCTGGGAGAGACACCCGGCTCGGCAGTGCAGACAGCGAGTGCTCGCTCCCCCTGCCTGGGAGCCCTTTATAGCCCGGGCGGGAGGCGTTGCCGGCGCTTTTTTTTTTCTGTTGCATTCCCGATGATTTTCATCACTCCTAAAATCTGAGCCAACTTCCAGAATCGTCATTTTTGCCTTTGTTCTGTTCATGCTTTTTGTCATATTTCACTAGAAACTTTTTTTCTCACAAAGGGCGTCTTTATGCTTCTTCCGTTTCCAAGTAAATAGTCAGGTGTGATTCAAAGGAGGAGGCTCCTCGCTCAGGGCTACGTTTTAATGCTGCTTTGCACTGTTAGCTCTGAAACGGAGCTATTCAGACAGTGTTTCGATGCATCTCTTTGGCTGTGTCTTTTTGTCCCAGGTACTACAGTTTCATGTCTGTACTTAGGTCGTACATGCCTGCAGGGACAACCACCGTGTCGTGAAGCCCTGAATGTACCTCTACAGTCCCGTGAGTACAGTGGTGCTGGAAGGAACTTGGCTACCAACCCTGGAAATACCAGTCCTCTCTTTTATCCGCAGAGAAAGGGATGTTCTGTAATGAAAAAGCAATGAAAAGGGAGTTCATGCTTCAGGGCTCATTAATTTAGTTCTTCACTTCGCTTCAGAGACCACCCAAGAGCGGAGGAATATGAAAAGCCAATAAGCGCTGGATGTTTTGTGTTGCTCTTTGTGAACAAGAGCCTAGCGAACCATGCAGAAAGGGCAGGGTATGGCTGCTGGCTGGCGTAACTGAAAAATTATGAGATGCTCCATTTTTATGTGGAATAGCATGAAGTAGATGAAAGACGTAAGGAAAGGAGCTCCTGGTCTCCAAGCACTGTGAACAACAGCACAAAGTTGACAGCGACATAGCTTAGCAGTTAATGTTAACGGTGTTTTGTGTGATGGACATCTCAATCGGTTGTGACCAGGGTTCAGTGTGAGTTTGGAATTTACGGCTCCTGTGTAAACAGAGCTTCAGGAGAGATACTGATTGCCTCTGAAGACTAAAAGGGCTGAAGAAATGAGTGCACGAGGCATGGTCAAACTCTGCTGCCTGCTCTCTGTGCTGACCTGCGTCACGGGCAGAAACCACAAATCTGAGTGTCACTAGCTAATAATGCAGGGTGTGGAGGAGAAGATATTTCTCATGTGTGTGCATGGTGAATTGTTTGACTGTCTTCACAGGCAGGCCCCAACAACCCCTTCCCAACAGCCAAGTTCTTCCTTAGATCATTTGCCAAAGGAGGGGGGAAAGAGCAGGGAAATGAGCAGCAAAGGTAGATGCCTAAGTAGCTTTAAAGGGCATGACTCCCTCCTCTTGATCTGAAAAGAGCTGGAAACGGTACAGGAGTGGGATGTGTCCTTGGAATATCAGGAGTTGGCTGCTGCGGAGAAGCAGAGCGAGCAACGTTCCCATCTGCCACTGGTAAATGGAGACAAGTCTGCACGGCTTGGAGAACTGCAGAACCGGCGTCTCCACTGTGTTTGCTCTGGCCGGTGGATGGGTTCAGTCTCTTGGCGGCAGCATCTTCTTGTCGCGTGAGGGCCCGGAGTCGGGCGCCGAGCCAGCGGACGCCCACTTTCTGCTCACCTTCCCCAGGTGCGGATGGCAAAGGTGCAGCGGCGCGGGGGCGGCCGGGATGCGCGGCTCCAAGGAATGTGCTTTGTCCCCATCCGCATCTCCTCACCGTCACCCGGGTAATGCAAAAGGGCAGAACTCGCGGGTTGCCACCGCTGCACTCAGTGGTGAAAGGGGGACCACCGGTGACAAAAACAGGACAGAGCCCCCCCACAAGTCCAAACCCTCAGCCTTGGCAGGAGCGAGGCCTTTTGGACGGGTGAGCCAGCAGCAGTGATCACCTTCCCACAGACGGCTGTAGGATGAATAACTGTCACAGCCGTACAAGGTTAACAGCATATTCCTTCTTTACATGAAATTGCCTTTTCTTTCATCTTTTGTTTCCTATTTAACCGCTGTGTCATAAAAATAGACATTGCTTAAAATATCTGTGATATTTTGATAATACCACAAGGCAGCAATTAAAATCATGAAGTGTTAATTAAAACTTAAAACAACATATTAAGAATTCTGAGATGTTATTTACATGACCTCCCATTGAACACAACCACAAATGACTGCATATGGTTTGTATCGCGCACTCTGCAAAATAAAAGGCTGACTATTAATAAATCGTTTTCTGCCTCTGTCTCATGAGCACACGCACACTATGAGCCTATTTTTTACACATTTGAAAATCAGAATGCCGGTTCTGAGGCATAAGAGGAATCTCATGGTGGCACGTTGGTGTTTAAATGTGCAATACTGTCTCACTTCAGGAGAAAAACAGAGATGAAGTTCTGGCTCTATACACACGTATCAGCAGACCTGGTAGATGAACCTACCTGGACAAAACCACTTCTCCGTTTATTTTAGTGCACTTGTAAAATTTGCCCTAGTGTCAGATTATCAGAGGAAAGTTCCCTAAAATGAGCTGAAAAGCCGCACCTTAATGTCTCTTTCTAAAGTGGTCTTTAGCGTCAGATTAAGTCAGTGTAGTCTGAGAAGTCAAACTGTCTTTCTGGAATAAAACACCGCTTTCTGAAACCTGCCTCGAGCTGCCGCTGCCTGTCTGCATAAGCCACCACCTGCAGCTCCCTCCTCAACGGGTTTCTTAAGGTCGGGACTAATTATTAATGCTTAAGGCGGGAGAGAATCAACATCTGTTTTCCACACCTCCCTCACAATTTGCAGCAGGAGGAGTAATTAAAACAGGGGATTTTGTCAGCGAAGTATTATTTGTTGTTTCTGTAGCAACACGGGTGTGCCCAGACTTTTCCAGGAGAAAAACATAAAGCAAGGATGGATTCCCGCGAGGCACCTTCAGCGTCCCCACACCGGCTGTCGCAGGGTGTCAGCACGACTGCCGCGGGGGTCTCGGAGGAGCTGCGGGAGGCGTTGGTGGTCCCGGCACCATCCGTAGGGAGAACGGGGGGGTCCCTAAGAGGTGACCTGGGAAGGCCCAAGCGTTGCCCACAGGCCATGTCTGTCCCTGCCTTGCTCGGGCGCCTGAGCCGGGGCTGCTCTTTGCCGTCCCTCATCCAGCCCTGGGGCACGGAGCCCCCTCGGAGACACCCCTCGGGCTCGCTCAAGGGTGTGGGAGTGGAGAGAGCGCAGTCTGTGGGGCTGCAGAGGTGGTGGGGCTGGAAGTGCCTCGGGTCAGGAATCGTGCCCTGTTATTCGGTCGTGGCCCATCGTGACGCGCCGGGTGGGCGAGCACCGGCCGG